TTTGGCCCTCTAAAATTAAGTGATAGTATTAGCAAAGCCAACCAGGAGCACGTGTAGAAAAGCTTGGTTGTCCTGGATGCTGCTGAGAACAGGAATGCTGCTGAAAAGAAGGGGAACGCTGCTGGAAGAACCCACAACTGTGTTCTTGGTTTGTAGATGGATGATGTCTGGCACTTGGAAATAAATCATACTGACCAGTCCCAGAAAATGCTGTTGTTCAGCATGGTTTGCATTGAATTTTTAGCGAGTGGGATATAGTAAGTAACTGAGCTCCTTCTGGTGAGCGTGAAATAGCAACACTTAGAGGAAAAAAAATCTATCGAGGCTTTGAGTCCCGTAGTAAATGGAAATGCACTTGTTGAACTTTGATGGTGGGACTGACATTTCAGACCGGGCGCCGGTTTTGCTTTCATTTCTGACAGCCCGTGAGGTCTGCATCGGACCTGTTTGATCTCATGAGCCGAAGCCGTTCCTGGTGGCAGCCCTCCTTCTGGTTTGCAGTGCCGAGATGGAGTACGGCGAGCGCCGGGACGTGGCTTACAGGGCATGTTGTCGGTCCCAGCTCTGCCCCAAAGGTCCCTTTGTTCAGGCGCTCAGCTGCGGCGCAGGCGGTTGCTTGCCACATGATGCGAAAGGGAACAGAGATTTCTTTGTTGTCCGGGGCCCGGCTGCCCTGCCGGCAGAAATTGAGCCGAAATCAGCAATTTCCATCCTTTCCCTTTCCAAATCTGGCCACCATTCTGCCGGCGTGCTCAAGCGTGAATTTACCGGCGCTGCGCATGTGCGGTGCTTTGGGCTTGTCATCCTGGTGACGAAAGAGAAACCTTTCATTTCTCCTTCGTAACGTCTTAATAATGCCCTCTCAGGTTAAAAGCCATAATTTCGGAGGGGATGTCTGCTCAGATCGATGCTCGCATAAGTACTCGTTACGCGTGGCAAAGTAACCAAGTGCAGGAACCGGGCGTCTCGCTGAGCCGTGGATACTCGGGATCCCTCTGCTTCGAGCTGAGAACAGAAGTTTTTGCTAGAACCGGGCGTCTCGCTGAGCCGTGGATACTCGGGATCCCTCTGCTTCGAGCTGAGAACAGAAGTTTTTGCTAAATGCTGCGTTATGCAAGAAAATTACCCTGAGCTGCTGACTAGCATCAGCAGCATGTGGGGCTGGACTGATGCTGCTGACATTTTAACTCTACGGCCTGGCTAGCAGAAAGCACGCTCAGCACTCTTTCGGGAAATAGTCGTCGGAGGTGGCGTGGAGCGGGGCGCGGAGCCTGTTTGGCGGCGGGATGGGGTTGGATGTGGCCTGTGCTGCGCTGCCATCCATCAGGCTGGCTTTGCACATGTGTTGCCAAGCTTGGTGACTGGTCGCTGTCAGCAACAGGTATTGCTTTTTCTTTGTGTAGCCTAAGCCGAAGGAACAGGATCATCGTGGCAGTGGGGAGTGAGCGGCAAAAAAAAAAAAAGTGGAAAGAAAAAATCATAAAAATCACCTTTTTTTCCCCTTTCAGGCCAGGTGTGCTGAGAGTCAAAGATGAAGGCTCAAGTATGTTGCTTAAAATACTTCAGAATATTATATTTGGAAGAAGCAAAGACTTATTTCTAGAATAATTCCAATTGCTACTGAGACTTAATTGGCTTTCAAGTAAGATTTAGCAGATATAAGTAAAAGCGTAAACTGTACACAGATTTGCCATAATGCCATTTTTCAGTTGTCAGCCTTGCCACGGGAAATCTATAAATATTTATATCATGGCTGGTTATTACATAGTTGGGTAATTTAGCACGTTATAGTTTTTACAGACAACATTGTCAATTTACTTTAAAAGCCCTTTCATTCTATGACTTTATTTTCCATGTTTTAAGGGCCTAAATATTTAAAGAAGTGGATAAAAGGGTTAAGCAGGGGATGAAATGGAGCACGTACTGAAAGAAAGGGGGAAGGATGGTAGGAGCTCTTGAGGGGCGGGAGGTGGAGGAAGGTTTGGGTACGGATGCGGGAGCCTGGGCAGCTCCTGCAGGATCCGGCCGGACTGTCTGTCCCGTTGGGGAAAACCTGGGCAGTGCCTACACTCTGAAGCTTAAAAGGGATGGACAGGAGACAGCAGAGGCAACTTCTGCCCTCCGTGGGATTTGCATTAGAGTATTTCATAGTGGCTTTAGATGCCTGCCAGCATCTTTACCGTGCACTGTGCCTGCACGCGGCTGCTGTGCCTTCTGCCTCCTGCTGCTTCTTGCTGCTCATCCATATTCAGTGTCACCCGGCTGCTTTCTGGAAAGGAGGAATTCAGAGCACGCTGGTGATTTTTTCTGGAGCAGCCGCTCTTTGGCATGGAAAAGGGGAAAATGCAGCACTTGCAGTGCAATAAATACGTCGGTTCTGTGGAAAGCCTGGTGAATGTCGTGGAAAGAAGGCTTTGAGCAGCAAAATCACCAGGTTTTCTGCTCTCAAAACTTTCCACTCAGCATCACTGTAGTCGAGAGGGAATTTTGCGAGGTAGCTGTTAGCTCTTGTGTCAGACGATTGCACAGCATCTCAGGCAGCTGCTGAACGTACGCGTTCCTGGGAGAACACATCCATTTGAAAAGCCAAATTTTCTTATCTTTGTCTTGTCTTTTCTTTTCTTTTTTCTTCTTTTTTTTTGTAATGCCTGCATGATTTATCTTTTGCTTTTTTAAAATGTTCTTTCAATAAATAACTGAGATAAATCTGCTTGGTTCGAAAAGAACCAGCAAGTTTTGCTAACTTGGTGCCAGACTGCGTGCTGGGGTGGGCCCGCAGCCAAGCTAGCATTTCAGTTCAGGTCAGATTTGGACAAAACAGAGTAACTAATTATTCTCTGCAGCCTTCTCTCCAGGTTTGTGTCAGTTTGGACTCTGGCTCTGAGTGCAGTGGGGCTTGCAGCAGCGCTAGGACAGCTTTCAGCCTGCAGTTGAATGCACACGGGCAGCTGCAGCACAGAGAGCCAGGTCTGCTCTGGGAAAATAAAATATCTGCTTTTCAGCAGCCTTGTGCGCGCTTCTGCAAAGGGTTCCTGAGCATTTTTAACCCTGTAGCATGAAAATTGATGGCCGCAGCTATCGGCTGCAGGAAGAAATTCTTAACCACCCTGGGACTGCCAGCGTGGTGCTGCCAGAGTTGGGAGTTACTTTTCAGCGCTGTCGTAAGTACTTTGGGTTTCTTCCTAACTTTCACCAGACCTTTCCAATTACTCCAGAGCTTGCGGGGCCCCGAAAGAAGTGAATTTTTGTTAACCACAGCATGACTAAGGATTTCCAGCAAGATGATGCTGTCCCTCTTCTTGGGCCGGTAGGTGCAAAACGTGACCAACAGTCCCTGCCCCAGGGAGTTTAATAGTCGGAGCAGCGGTGGAAGGAGAGACCTGGAGGCAAAGTCACATCTGCAGGGTTGCTGAGGAGCTGAGACACATCTTCTGTTTGTCCTTCACACTGCCCTTTTTGGGTAGATCTAGATTAAAGTTGCTCCTTTAGAGGTAGTTAAATGGTGATGCTGCTTTAAAACCGGTCTGTCACAATCACAGGGTAATGCCTGAAGAAAGTAAATTGGCTTGCTGTGTCATTTTCCTTGGACAAGGACTTTCTCTCCCCAGCCACTAATAGTGGTTTTGGGTGGCCTCGCTGCATTTCTCCCTGCCAGGTGGAGGGAGCAGGTCCTGCTAGCAGATGCTGTCAAGCGCATGAAACTCAGTTGTCACTTCTTACTTCGTTATCAAAATAGTTTTATGTGGAAATGCGGTGAGATTTGAGAAGCCCTAGGTGAACACACAACACCCTTTGCAAACCTGCAGTGCTAAAGTCTTCTCCCTGCGGTCCCTCACCACCACCACCACCACCACCACCATGCATCTGCCCTGTTGCTGCTGTTTCCAGCCTCAATCAGGCAGGTCTGTGTCTGGAGGGTCCCAGCAGCTTCCTCACGAGGTGGAACTCCTCACCCTGCGCTCTCTGCCTGGCTTGGGTTTTGGGTTGGAGCTCCATACCGGGGTGGGTGCAGGTGGAAATGTGCTTGGCTGTGCTGGCTGTAGCGAGAGGTTGGGCTGAACAGCCGAGCACAGTCATCTTCTCCCTCCTCTGGAGCTCCAGAGCTGACTCTGGTCTTTAGGTGATGGTGGTGGCAGGAAGGCCTGGGTGCGAGGAGCAGCTTGGACTTGCACTTGGGACAGCTTATAGTCAGAAGTTGACCGTGTGTGCTGGCCCTGGCTCTCCTTCACCCTATGGGCCACCTGAGAGTAAGCCCCCCTTGGCTGGTGGTGCCACTGCCACCAGGTGTCCCCTCCTTAAAACTGACTTCTTTCTTGCCTTGTCCTGCAAGAGACGAGAAGAATGTCTGGGCAGGATACATGGTCTGTAGGTAGCGCCTATGTTGGGTCTCTCTGTTCAGATGTGGCTGACTGAGGGAAGAGAGATAGGTGTCAGGTAGTCAGTCCAGCTCCGTTTCGGTGGGAAATCCTTAGGGCCTTCAACAGATGTGAGCAGGGTCTGAAATTGATTAAGATTTAAAGGGGCTAAGTGAAGAGGTGTGTTTTCCTCACATCGGTTGCAACCAACAAGCTTATTTTATGCGGTAAGTAGCAGAAACTGTTGGTCTGTGAACAGCCGTGAGGACCACTTACTACCACCCAGGCTTTTGGGAGGGTCATGACGTGGTTTTAAATGTATATAAAATTTGTGGGAATGAATGGGTGAAGGAGGGAGATGTTACTCTAGACAAACAGGGCTGCTGTTGTCCAGTTTACTTTTTTGCAAAAGGCTTTCGCCGTGGGGGTTTGGTGACCGTCATGGCCACTGTTAACAGCATCTCTCAGGGTGGGTGACTCCGATGCCACCTACATCTTGTGGCTACAGTGAACCGCCTGGTCCTAAGCTGCCAAGCCACCACGCTGAATTACAGGTGTGGTCACCCAGCCAGCGACCCCAGCCGCCCCGCTGGGTCCCGCTTCTGACCTCTGTCTCCCTCTCTCTCTTCCAGGCACCTGCGTGAAGTGCAGCAAGGGGGTGTATGGAGCAAACCAGGCTTGCCAGGCCATGGGCAACCTCTACCACGACGGCTGCTTCACCTGCGGAGCCTGCAGTGAGTACTCCCCGCCCGGCTGCTGCCGGTGCCGCCGGAGCAGGGCCCTGGGGCAAACTCTTTGGCTTAATGTTTTCCTGGTGCAAAGGGGGAAAAAAAGGAGGTGGTTATTGAATTATCTGCCAGCTGGAGTCTGCCGCAGTTGTATGTCTCAGTCGTGGTGGTTGCTATTTGGTTTTGAACGGGTTCTTGCAAGGCATGTAGAAAAGATACTTTAGGTTGTGCCGGCCATCTGCCTTCTGGTATGGGGGATGGTTGTTTTCATTCCTCTGTTTCTCCATTACAGCTATGTTTTCTTACTCATAAGAGTATTTTTTCAAAGTGGCAGTGAATATGCCTTAGCTGGCATTTAGGGGTTTCTTATTTGTCACGTCAGACTTTACAGCCATTCTGGCCTTTCAGTCTGCGGACCCCAGGGAAAGCCGCCGGGTCAGCGCCGTGCCGAGGGCGCAGGCAGAGTGCGAGTATCGGCAGTGGGCCCTGCGAGCGCCAGAGACACCTTTCCAGATGGAGCTGCTGCATGGTCGGTCCCGTTTTCACTGCGTGCGTTACCTTTACTCATTTTGCCCTTCTGAGGGACGTCCGGTCAAAGCATCTGAGTGCATGAATGACCCAGGTTACACACCTTGCTCGTTCTTTCTCCGGAGAAATGGAGCTATGCCCTGAGATGAGGGATATGTCTCTGCCGACTTGCTTTCTGGTTATTGCAGGGAGGGATCTGGTTATTGTGCCAGAGGTATCAGGCTGGGAGCAGCGATGGCGAGCCCTGCGAAATCTGTCCGGGAAGCAGGGTAAATAGTTCGGCTGGCCCCGCCGAGCTCCCTGCCACGAGTCAGACCCACACATCAAGCTTGCTGCAATGTATGGATCCTCCTGAGTGGCTTTTTGAGGAGGTCCATGATGGAGCTGGGGTGAGGAACCGTGCGGCTTGATTTCAAATTGTGGCTGTGTTTGTAAGACAGTGGTTTTTCTATTTTGTTATGTTTAACTTAGGGCTAGTAGCATATTTTTAGAAAGGTAGCGGTGTATGTGGTGGCAGAAAAAATAATAGTAATCCTTCTGGTGCTTTTGTATGTATCAGTTTGGTTTTCCCAGATGAGTCTTATGATTTTTCTCCTGCGTTGTATTTAGAGTTGTAAACTCATCAGGACTGCATGTGTTTTATTTGGAGGTGTAAAGTGGGAATAAATATAGAAAGATGTGTGTGATTTTTAATAATAGCTGAACCTTGAACTCTGCTCATTTCCCAGCTGTCCGACACCAACTGCCTTGACTCACCTATATTTTCAGTAGAGCATTTCGTCGTCATCTGACCGAAGATGGGAAAACTGGAAAGAAGTGGTGGTGTTTGCGTGTGGTGGCAGTTTCCTAAAGGCTCAGAAGTCAGCAGCTCACTCTTTTGTCCGCTCATAAATTAATTCGAAATCTCCTGCGGAGAGGGTTCCTGGCAGTTGGAGCTTTGCTTCAGGGACCTCTCACCCTCTGTGGCTGGGCGGCCTCCAAACTGCCCTTGCACACAAAGCTTCTGTTAAAAGTAATCCAGCAGCAGGTTCGAGCTGTCTTAAATTTCTAAAATTACTACTGTGCAACTGGTGCTTTTGAAAGAAACACTTTCGATCCTCCTTTTAGAATGGATTTTACCATCTTTATTTGGAGACCCGCGCTAGAGAGGTACTTGTGGTTGCAGAGGTATCAATGGTACTTCCGTTTATGTTTGTTTGTGTTTGGTTAAAAAATAGCTTAATCCCATTTCTAATGAGGTGGGTTGGTGAGGGCTGAAAGAATAGCTATTTGCTGCTTATTCTAAAAGGCAACCCTTTCCAGAGGTTTCCAATACAAGATGAAAAGGTTTGGGTGTCAGGTGAGATTTAGAAAGATGGAAAAAAAGTAAGTTTAGCAAAGTGAAGCTCATTTTCTCTTATCCAGGCTGTAACTGAGGAATCTCTTTGGAGATGTGCTGGAGCAAAGGGTTTCAAATGGAAAGTGAAAAAAAAGCTAGTAAAAACGCTAGTTAAAAAAAAAAAAAGAAGAGGGGAGTAGTAATAATATTTCTGTGAGTAGAAAATGCTGTATTTCCATATGAGATGAAAAAGGGGAATGGAAGCCACAGGAGTATAAGCAAGAGCCTGTTTCAGCTTGTTATGTGCAGGAGAGTAATTACTCATGAAAGCTCGAGTCCTTCCCATTGGGGCAGCGGACGTACTAAGATGGGAGCTGGAATCAGCGGTGGCCGGCACGGGTGGATGGAGAGGAGGGTGTGTGGTGGCGTGGGACTCGAAGGAGAGCGGTGCCGGAGGGAGGCCTCCGCAGTAGCGGTGTTTCCCTCACGTGCACGTACGTCTACAAGTGGCAAGGCTCGCAAGAAACCCTCCAGTACAGGGGGTGGTTTCCTGTGCTGCCGCTGTGGTCTGCAGGGCCCTTCGTGCAGGAGTTGTTTGCTCAGGGGCTTGGGAGGACGTTTGTATTTCCCCCCCCAGCAGCGTGCTTTGCCTGTGCTGCTAAAGCCGTAGCTGGGCTGACTTTCTGATTCATCAAGCCTCTTGGCATTGCAGCTGCTTAACTGATGCCTGGGGTGGTACGTGCTGTCCTGCCCTGCTCTCAGGGAGGAAATGTACCTGAGGGGAATCCCCCCTTTCGCAGACCGAGGTCATTTCCCAGTCCCCCGGACCATCGGCCGCAAGAGGAATGAAAGGCACACAGCCCTGTCCTTACCCAGAGAGAGCGCGTGCCTCTCTGCAGGCTTGCTGTCATCTGTGTCGCTGCAGTAAATATGATGAGACCATTTTATCTGCCAGAAAAATAAATATTTGCCCTGACGGTGTTGTCTGTCTAGCTGCAAAGCATGTCTTGAGCAGCTTATGTGGAAACTCTGGTTTCCAGCTGAAAAGTAAGCAGTGCTTTTAAGGTCAAGTGGAGTTCATCTTGGACACCATCCAGTACAATCTTGTCTTTGAGAAGTCAAGGTTGCTCATGATTTCAAACCTAACATTTCTGCTCTGGTGGAACGCTGAATATCTCCGCTCCAATAAATAAAATACGCAAAATGACCTATTAAGGTAAAGCATATTGTCCTCCAGATATTTATATCCACTGTCCTGCTGTTTTCATTTTAGTGAGAATTTCTAATTTCGCTTGTAGTTGGATTTGTGTCCAAATATGCATTAGTTTCCCAGATACAGAAAACCAAGAGGGTCTAAGAAGGGGAGGGGGGTTGATATCTCATGGTGCCAAATTTCCTACACCCTCTGTTTCCTGATACACATATGTTCAGAGATAAATGATACAGCAATTTGTTGAGCAGAGCTACGCATATTTTACAGGGTTCAGTTGTCAGGAAAAAAAATGTACTGTTTTATCTGAGCCACTGGCATGTAATGCAGAAAATTTGGCTTAGAGGTCAAAACAACAGATTTAGAATGATTACTTTGGCATAAATGTCTCATTTATCTTCTTGTTTGTTACAGGGCAGAGACACAAACAAGGCAACTTTTTGCCGAGAGGGAGGGGAAAAAACTTTGGGCTCTTTCTGCAAGATTAGTAATAAATTATATTTGCTTTACAGGAGGGCCACGAAAGTAGGTTAAAAAAAAAGTCCTCGAAACTCATAGGGCTATTTCCTGCAAGCTCAAGGTGTCAGTTTCTGTCTTTCTTTTTTTTTCAGGTTGTTGGACAAACAGTTGTAGTTATCAAATGGCTTGTTACACATTAACCATTTAAGTTAAATCACCTCCTCAGAACACAGAAAATGCAGGTGTTTCCAGATGCTGATATTTATTATTTAGGTAGTAAGGAGACCTTATAAATGATATAGATTTAACTAGACAGTATCACTTTAACCTATTGTGGTGTTTTAGTGTTTTCTCTAGGATTCAGCCAGGCTTATATCCGACTGCTGCAGATTGCCTGGAAAACAGACATTTTTAGCTCTGCTGGCAGTGTAATTTAGAGCACAAGGGTCTTGTACTTCAGCCACTTGGTCCTCAGAGGAAATCTGAAAGCTAAAAAAGTGCAAGGGAAGTGTCAGAGATGACTGTGGAGGAAATCAGTAGGCGAGGAAGGAAGTCAGAAAGAAAGAACTGATTGCAAGGTGGTTTGAAGGAGGGTTCAATGTTGAACGGCAGCAGAAGGTCCAAAACGAGGACCAGATTTTGACCCCTTATTACAAAGAGGTGGAAACCTTGCATGTTTGCCACATTACAGAATTCGACCTTTGACATGTCAACATTACTACATTACTTTCTTTTTCTTTTTTTACTGTAAGCTCCGATTAATGTTGATGTCTGTGTATGGGTAACAGGCTGCTGTTCCAGTGGCAGAGTTTGAAATAACACGAGCTGGCTGTCTCTTGCCACCCTCTGGGGATATATATGGGGTTTTTTTTAATATTTCACAATATAGTTGTGTTTAGAGGTATCAACCATCATTTACTAAACAAGGTAGCTAAGGTATTGAAGCAATATATCTGCGAACGTAGCTCTCTGCTTGTGCTAATTAGTCTTGCTGCAGTGATTATAAAGTATGGCTACTAGAGCGATGGAGCTCTTGGTGCCTTTGGGATAATTATGTTGAATATATTGGTATATAACCCCTGGAACAATAAGGCCATGGTTTTTATTGGTATCGCTAAATAACTCTACAAGTAGAAAGTCACCTTTTTCTGCGAGTGCAACTTAATCCCAGGTTGCAGGACAGACAGCCTTGCCAAGTGAATTTCCCCACGGCACATGTATGGTTATCTTCAGATGCAGAAACTACCAGCTCTTCTAGTGGAGGCAGAATTTACTGTTTGTAATTGGATATAAAACCACTATACTGATTGACACGCATGAGAAATGCGGAGATCTTCAAAGTGGAGAGTGCAAAGTACTGCTGGTAGTCCTTCCTCAGCAACCCTTTAATAAAATTATCATGCAAGAGTCCACACAGTAAATAATACAGGTTTTTTTAGCAAAAGTAATCTCAGAAAAGATTCAGCCGTGCCTGGCTTTACCAACAGTTTG